AATAGTAATATCGAGGGATTTTGTGGGAAGAGATATCGAGGCAAGTGTACATACCACCCTGTTTCAGTTTGTACCAGGCTCATTTGGGAGGCATTTGCCCTTTTTACCTTATCTGAAAAAAGAAGAAATCTGGCCTATTAGCCTTCAAATTAAAAAAATTTTCGCCTGCGGCGCAGAAAAAAGGAATTTGTTGGTCTACAGCCTTCTAAAATTTTCATAATTTTCGCCTGCGCCGCTGAAAATCATAATTTTCAGCGGCGCCGAAAATTTGGTGCAGTAAATTTTCCTCCCTTTATCCCCACAAAAAAATCCTGGCTATGGGCCTGATGGCGATATAGGGAATTAGGTGAAATTAAGAGAAAAATGAACATTTAAAATGATTTGCAATGGCTAAACACAAATTGGGATCAAAAATTGTTGCCCCATGGCTAATGGGACCACAATTTGTGGTCCCACATAATTATATGATGGTATAAATGTCATTAATGGCCAATTAACAAGCTTAAAATTGAATAATTAATAAAATAATTAGGTTTTTTGAGATTTTTTTGGAAATTAAAATGTTTCGTTTTGTTTCGTTTCGTTTCGTTAAATTCTGACTGTTTCGTTTCGTTTTGTTAACGAAACGATTTTTAAAAATTTTTGTTTCGTTTCGTTTCGTCCAAAAAAAATTTGGAGTTTCGCCCAGGTCTGGTTCGGACATGTCTTCGATTTAGTTTGCCTGTTGTATTTCATAATAGAGCTAAAAGGGGAGAGGGTAACTGGATATTTGTTCAGTCTAATGAAGAGTTTATTAAAATTTATTCTTGCTACTTTATGTATAAGAATGGATGAGTATTTTATTTGTTTTTCCTGATCCATCGAATAAATAAATATACGTATCGAAGGGTTAAAAATGGAAAATTTACCGAAATTAGAATTTAATTAAATTTTAAAATAGCAAGTATCCATCCCTAAATACCCTATATTTCATCCATTGTGCATTAAATAGACTAATATATTTACCAAAACGTAAAGCAATTGCCAGTGGATCCTCTTCTCTTAATATTTGTACATCCGTCTTGTCTGTTCTAAAATATTTGTAAAGTCTTGCTCTCGATCCTTTTGTTTTATCCAAAAAATCTTTTATTTTATTTTTTTCATAATTTTCTAAAAATATTTCTTTAAGTGAATTTGATACTTTTGCTTCTTGAGTCCCTTGATCCAAATTATATTTTTTATTAATTTCTTTCCAAAAATTATATATTTCATCATTTGATTTAGTTTTATCTAATATTTTATTTATTTTTGATTGCCAAAAATTTTTAATTTTATTTTTTGCTTTTTCTTTCCCTACTTTTTCATTTAAAATTGTCAAAATATCCTCAAATATTATGTAAAATGATATAATAACTCTAGACTTTTGTGCTAATGTGGTTACAATAGGATTTGAAAGATAAATCTCCAAAAGTTTTAAAAATTCACTTGTCTCTAAAATATCTTTAAAAAAATAATTTTAATTTTATAATTGACTAAATAATTAGATAATAATAAATATTAGTGTTAATGTATTGGTGAATTAACATAAAATTTTAATTTTTGATTCACCAAATTTGTGAAAAAAACTTTTTTATTTTTGTCCTACTTTCAGAACATGTCCTACTTTCTTATTCTAATGTATAAGCCCATCCGAGGAGACCCATTGAAAAATATAAGCCCAGAGCTTATATTAGAGCATTTACAGTTATCTACTATCTATATTCAAAATCTTAATTTTCCCCAATTGATGTAAATAGGGTGTGTGTTAACCTCTAAACAATTACAGAACTAAAATACACTTTTAAATCTTTGAAACAAAAAAAAAGATTTCCAAAAAATTATTTAATACATTTACCTAATCTAAATTTAAAAGGGTCCTCCATTTCCAAATTCGAAAACATTTCCCGTCCAAATACATTACGCATTTTTTGTTTAATTTCAACACATTTAAAATACTCCATTTCCTCCATAGATTCAATATTTTTATTTAAATCAGAATTTTTATTCAATAAAAGTTTTTTAAATATTTCTATATGTAATTTATCAAAAGGATATTCCCAAGTATTTTCATCCCATTTATTTTCTAAAACATTAATTCCAATATTTTTATTAAATTCCAAATCTATAAAAATTAATCTTCTAGCTTCATTTTGCCAATTAATTTTTTGTTTTCCTTCTTTTTTTAATTCTTTATTTAATTCTTCTCTTATTTCCAAAACTTTTCCAAATATTTCTTTTAATTTTATCAAATCTTTTGATTTTATTAAACTCATTTTTCCTTTAATTTTTTTCCCTTTTCCTTTATTATTTTTATTTTCTTTTTCTATATTTATCCATTTACTGTTTATATCTCTATCAATTAAATAAGCACTTAATTGCCAATATTTTGAAGACATTTCTTCAAAATTTAGATATTCATCGAATATTAATTTAAAATATTCTTTATTTAAATCTTCAATACCTAAATTAATTTATATTTAAAAATAAATATTTTATAAATAAATAACCATAATTTTCTTCTTGTTGTTGTCCAAAAATTATTAAAATATTTCCAAACAAAAATAAAATAAAGAATTTCATAATTTCTATATAATTTAAATTTAAAAAAATTTTTTGACAATCATATAAAAAAGTTAAAATAGTAATTTGGAAATTGAATAGAAAATAAAAAAAAGTTAATATTTTGAGGGAATTTTTAGGATGTTCTTAATTGGCACCTAATACTTGTTTTTATTAAGTTTATTCTTAAATGGAGCAATAAATAAAATCCAAATCTAAGCTTAATGAGCAAAATAAAAATATAAATTAAATATAAGTTTGTGTGAAAGGAATGGTAAATTCTGCTTTGTAAAATTACATTTTTGTGTAAACAGAAAAGGATTTTTTAATTTGATTATTTTTAATTGCTAGACATTTTATTTTTAAATTTTTATTTAAACATTTAGAAAGAATGGCGGAAATAAAAAGAAGGAAAGCACTTTAATGAAAATGTAATATGAAAAATAATTTTATTGACAATTTTTTAAGACATATTTTTATTTCTCAATTCTTTATTTCAAAATTAAGAAAAAAATTAATTGTAAATATATATAATTTAAATCTCATTTTTAATTTAGGTATTTGTCAAGGAAAAGTTGCAAATTTAATTTAAATTATAAACTTAAATGTAAACGTTTTAATAAATTTGATAAAATTAAAGAATAAATTTTTGTAAAAAAAGATTTTAAATTTTTACAATAATCTCCAATTAAATGTTTAGCATTTATATCCGAACTTATTCTAAACATTCCTTAATAACTTATAGATTTTAAAAAATAAATTACAAAAAATTTTTATTTAAAACACTAAAAAAATCTTTAAATTTAAAAAAAGTACAAATATCCATGACAAAAAAATAATAATAAAAAATTTAAATATTCAACGAGGAAGAAGAAGATTGTTGATTATTATTGTCACCTTCATGAAAACTTGCATATTGAGTAAAGACAGCAAGAAGTGATTGCCAACAAGCAATAATTCCTCTATTGCCAAAACAATGGGAAATCTGGAATTTTTTAAAGAAAATATTTTTTGAAAAAAAAATTTAATAAAAATTATTTTAAAAAATATATTAGCAAAAATAATTAGAGAAGGGGGGGGGGGGAATTTGTGAAAAGGAATGTTGAGTAGTGAATAGCTGTTTGTCAAATACTTCTCTACATTATCAACTTATTCCTAGGGTTGTAGCCCGACGGCGGGGCCACGGTGAAATTTTCGGGGAGGCAGCGCCACGGGGAGGAGGGTGGGAGGACGGGGAATTTTCAAAAAATCTTTCAAATCCCCCGACTTTCGAGACGGGGAACAACCCTATTAGTTTCCCAAAAATATTTTTAAAAAATCATTTGCTAATATAATTTTTTCAATTTTAAAAGCATTTTTAGCTATTTAAAATAATTAAAAAAATTTTTTTTGTTTGACTGGCCCTCGCAAAACGTTTAAATTGATTAAGAGTGTCAGGCATTAATTGCTGCATTTGTAATTGTTGTGGGTCTATTAATTCTCCAGGCATTGTTAATTCAAGTGTTTCTTGTTCAGTTGCTGTTTGAACAATTGAAATAGCCTCTCGAAGTATTCCCCTTTTTAATTTAGAAATTTAATACAAAGTGCGGCAAATTGGCGGCCGCTTTTCTTTTTGCTATAACTTTTTAAATTTTTAATGAAAATCATTAATTCTTTTTTTACTGGATTCCCAGCATTCTAAGAATTTTTTTGGTACCAAGAAATAAAAATTTAGTTCACACATGGTAAAGATAAGCCGGTCCAAACATTTAAAAGCATCAACAAACATTTTTTCTTGCCAAACTTTAATTGATCATAACTTCGTCAAAAATGATTCAATCCCGATGATTTTAGTACAAATCGACTCGATTGTTCAGGCGCATCGAATTAGCTTATAATTTCATTTTTGAAAATTTTACTCAAAAATTTTGTATTTGCCAAAATTATTTTAATAAATCATTCATTAAGCCATATCTCGGTCCATTTACGTGATAGACACCTGATTTTGGTGTCATTCGAATCAGCTTGGAGAGCTGATTCAAATGATATATAAATTTCTCATATCAAAATAATAGCCTTGAATCCAGGCCAGATTTTATATAAAAAATTTGACTTAAACTTTGAGAGATGATTAATCAGACTAATTTATCAAATTTAAAAGCGATTTTGCTATCAGAAAAATTCTTAGAGTATCAGGAATCAAGTAAAAAAAGAATTATCAGTTTTCATTAAAAATCAAGAAAGTTATAGCCAAAAGAAAAGCGGCCGCTAATTTGCCGCACCCTGTATTATAAAAAAATATTTTTTTGTTAATTTTTGAAAGAAATAATGACCGGGTAAAAAATAAATTTCCTCATTTTTAACCATCAAAAAATATTAAAATTAGATTTTTCTCAGCGATTTTTGGGGTTGTCCCCTAACAAAAGCATTCCATTTAAATTTTGTCAAAGAAACCAACTACCATAAATTCCCCAAAAATTTAAATCAAGAATTAATTCCTGAAATATTCTAAATACCAACATAGAGCTTTTAATATCATCAAGACTTTGATTTCCTCGACGATGCATTTCCATAGCTATATGATGATGAGGGAATCCATTACTTGGGTCTTTAACTAATTTATCAAAATCTTCAGCCAATTGAATAGCCTCTCCTTAAATTTTGTTTATTTTAAAATAATCTTTATTTAATTATTTTTTACTTTCACAGAGTGTAGATAATGCTGTTACTAGACTTGATTTTCGTTTTCCAGGTTGAAGATTTAAACCACAGTCATATTTACCCAAATCTTCTCTCAAACTTTTACCTCCATTTTTATTTTTAGCTCTGAAATTTAAAAAGTATTTTAAAAAATAAAAATTTCATTTTTAACTCTACCTTCGAAGAATTCCACTCAAGTAAGAGGTATTCAAACATTCTGGCATACTCAACCTTCTACATAATTCAGCTAACGATATTGGATACTTTTTGTTATTATTTAACAATGAGAGACGAGCGGGGACCTAAAATAATTAATTAAATTTAAATTAATTATTTACAGATTTTTCATAAAAAATCATTTCAAGGTCAAGTAATTGTCTCTCTCCATTATAAGTAATCCATCGCATATAAGGCGGGAATTTTGGCTCTAAAAATTTGTAAAAGAATTTTAGTTATTTTATATCATATGTCTAATTTCCATTAAAAAATTATAGAAAACCGGGTAAAAGTTGTTATTTTTTCACCTACACAGAAAAGAGAAAGAGCTTTTTCGATATTTTAAAGAGTTGCCAGATGGTAATCGAGTATGCTGAGTTCGAATATGAGGTCCCGGACACAAAATTCAACCCTAGACCCAAAATAAAAACAGGTGACTTAAATCTATGAATTAGAAACTGACACGTCCTTTCGAGCTCGAATTTTGGGTCCGGGATTTGAAATAAATAAAATCTGGCATCACACTCGATTACCTACTGACAAACCTCTAAAATATCTAAAAGCCTTCATTCTCTTTTTTCTGGGAAAATGAAAAAATGAGAAAAAAAGGAAAACACAAACGGCACTTTTACCGAAAATACTTTCAAAAAATATTTAAATTCACCATTAAAAGCCAAATCAAGACTTTGGCCTGTTTTACCACTTAAAGCACTTTCTTCAGAAGAACCTCCACTGCTACTTTCATTCTTTTGTATATCTAAATATTTTTTAAATATTTTTTTAAAATTTTAGTCAACCTTTAATTATTCTTTCAATTCCTGCAACACCGCTATCTCTACTTAAAAAAAGTTTTTATTTTTATTTAAAAAATTTTAAATTTACGCATTGCTAAATGTTGAAGAATTGCTTAATTGAGAGGAAATTATTTGTTGCTAAAATATATTTTTAAAAATTATTTTTAAACAATTCTAATTCCTCTACCTGACCACCAGACACAAATAATCCACTTTGGAGCATTTGCTGGGGATAATTAGAAGGATATCCATATACCCCATAAGGAGTCATTTGAATATTTTCAGAAGAACCAACACCGCCAGTAGAGGAACTTTGAGCTCCTGAGAGGTTATATTGATGGCGATTTGGTGGACGAATTGATGGGAAAACTGAATTCCCAGCAGCTGCTGCAGCAGCAAGTCCTTGACCTTTTAGTAAATTAATTAATTTATCAGAATTTTAAACTGATACATATATTTATAAAATTTTAATCATAATTATATTAAAATTCTAAAAACAAAAAAGAAAAAAATCCAAATTTTTATTACCCCAAATCGCAGCATGTTGCAAATTTCGCAACGTAGCTTGCTCAAAATTATAAGGTGTTGAATGTGCAAGTGGGGCAGAATGCATCTAAATAATCGGAAAAATTAGTTAGGGATTTTAAAAATATTGAAGGCTTAAATTTTAAAAATAATGCAAAAACAACTATTACATTTCCAAAATTTGGAAAGGTTGAAGCAGTCGAAGAAATTAAATTATGATATCCATATTGTTGTTGAGGTGTAGAGTAAATAGGAAATTGTTGTAGTTGATTATAATTTGACACTTTACCTGAAGAATTTAAACTTTGAAGTAAAGCGGAAGTGTTTTGATGTTGTTCAAGTTTTATTGGTGGAGGACATTCTGGTGAGCTACTGCTAGTTCTGAAAAATATTTAGAATATTATTAAGTGTTTATGGTAGTTACAGACTATTATAATATATTCTTGCGAGGAAACGCGGACATATCGGGATATTTCAATGAAGCACAGTTACCCTACTAATTTCGAACCTACAGTCACTGGTTCGATCGCTCTTTCCATACCCATTGAAGAATAGTTTTTGTGATTTATAAACACTCAAGAAATTATTTTTGTCACACCAATCCCGATATGTCCGTCCCAATATGTCCGCACACCCTTGTGAGATAATAAGGGGAACTTAGGGGATACTAAAATAAAAGGTAACAAAAAGTCTTATCTAAGGGTCTTCTTGACAAATTTCATCTAAAGTGCCTCAAAATTTAAATCCTTCACTCACTTAGCCGATCGAAGTCCCCCACTACTTTCACTCTCATCCTCAACTTCATCTTCCTCGTCTTCCGCATCTTCTTCAGCAGATCCAGAGGACTGGATATTTTCAAATAAATTCTTTTGGGTATTTAAATAAGGACGTTTATTGGAAGGAATTCCACAATTCTCCTAAAAAATAATTTTTTTTTATTTTAAATTTATTTCATTCTTTTTCACTTTTTCTTCTTGATTTAAATGTTCTTCAGTTAATTGTCGTTTATGTCCAAGAGATGAAGATAAACTAGTTGGAGTTGGATAAAAATTATGTTGTTGTTGGTGGGGGTGAACAAAAAAATTTTCCTTAAATTATTTCATTTAAAATTAAATTTATTTTTTCTCACATTTCCATAACTTTCATTGTTTAAATTTTGTTGTTGATTTTGTTTAGACATTGAAATTAAATGTTCGTTTTTGTCTTGATTTGAATTTCCTTGTTGATTAAACATTTACTACTATATAAAAACTATAAAAATATTATTTTAAATTATTTGAATTAAAATTTTTAAAAAAAAATTTTCCTTAAATTTTTTCCTTAAAAAAATTTTCCTCTCAAAATCAATTCCAAAATCAATCAATTTATTCATAATTTAATGAATACATTAACGTTTTTGGTAAAATAATCTTCTCTTCTTTTTCATCCATTAAATTTAATTTACTCTCCAGAAAAACCTCGCCTATCACATACTCATCAAAAAGAGATCAAAAGAAGGGGAATAATGAGTGTAAGTGCAAAAGGACAAAAATGTTAAGATACATAAATTTTTTAATAAGGAAAGAGAGAGAGAGGTTAAAAATGGAGGATTATTTTAAATAGAAAAAATCGAAAAAAATTTATTTTTTAAATTTTTGTTTGGCATTTAACAATGTTTAGAAAATATAACCTAGTAAAATAGGTATATTGAGGAAAAGTGGTGATTTTCTCAACACATAATAAATATATCAAAAAATAAACAGAAAGGTGTAATTTTGTAAATAAATAGTTTTTCTCACGTTTGGAAGGTAATAAATGGAAGCAGAATTTATACAAAAATTATACTAATTGTATCATTAGGTTAAAAGGGCAAAAATAATAAAAACATAAAAATTTATATTGATCAAACAATCTTAAACTTGAACTTGTCACTTGCTCGATACACACATACCCAGAATTTTCTGATATAATTTAATGTAAAATATTTTGAAAATTAGTTTAGGAACACGAGGAGTTAAATTAATTTTTTAAATAAAGAAATAATTTTTCTGTTAATGAAAAACTGAATACGGAAGAAATGGGTGACACGACTTGGGCACTGTGATCCATTTGCACAGTAAGACTTTTGCACAGAGGACAATTACACAGTGGACATTTGCACAGTAAAGTCTTGTTTATTCGCAAAACGACCTACCCATTTATTCGCAAAACGCCTATTTAGTCGCGAAACACTCCAAATAAACGCAAGGCTCATTCACCTATAGGTCATAACTTCGTTCAGAATCATCCAATCAAGATGATTTTGGTGTCAGCCGACTCAACTCAAAAAGCTCTTTCGAATGAGCTATAATTTGCATCTTCGAATTTTTTACCCCAAAAAACCGCTTGGTTTACTCTATTGTTTTTCGATTTTCGGGAGCCTATATCTCTGCGAGTTTTCGTCTCCCGCGAACAACTTTTCCAACAACGGGAAAAATTGCTTATAGAACAGGGAAAATTGTTTTTGTTTAAGAAAAACCATTTTATTATTAAAAAACTTATCAGAAAGTCTAACACAAATGCACTTAACCACAAATTACTGTGCAATTGTCCACTGTGCAGATGCCCAATGTGCAATTGTCTTACTGTGCAAATGGATCACTGTGCCCGTGTCGGAGCGCCAAGAAATGAGTTAATTTAAAAAAGGGGGAAAGTACTTGATTGAACACTGACAATTTTTACGTCGATTGAGTGCCATTCAATTAAATAAAAAGGAAAAAGAGTTTTTGTAATATATTTAAATATTCCTCTCCCAATTTGAATACCGACACTTTGATTAAAAATATGTACATGTGTATTTTTTAGACATTCCAGGGATTTCTAAAAGGCAAACGAAAATACTAACTTCCTTATTTTCTCCATAATGAGAAAATAAAGTTTATAAGTTTATGGGCGTTTTACCTTCTATTTGAACTATATATTTATTTTCTTTTGTTTCAAAAGTTCCTTTTTAACGTGAAGTAAAAAAGGAAGCAAACAATTTTTGAACGTGAAGAATTGTCTGAATATCGGCATTTTGAGGGTGAGGGAAAGGAGTAAATAAATATAGACAATACGTGGAAAAAAATAAAAAGAAAAAGTTACTGAAGAATTTTAAACAAAATAATTGCTTAGCCGTAGGGGACAAATATCTTCACGGCAAACAATTAAACTTAGCTGACCCTTTTTATTTGATTGATAAAACAAAGGAAAGGCAAAAGGATGGGAAGAATTGAATATTTAAATTACTGTCTCTTTCTTGCTAAATTTGATTTAAAAATTTCTTAATAAAATTCTTTAGATTTTCCGGTCCTATCGAATTCAACCCAAAATTTACTAGACCAGACAAAGATTTTAATAAATTTGTTCTATTTAGAACCCTTTAATATCTTAGTTATTAACGAATAAAATTAAAATTTTGGCAGCATTCAAGACAAATTAGGTGATTGTTATAATCTCGTACTAGTTCCAGGGGCTAAATAAGTAAAAATAAAGGAAATTGTCCCATAAATAACCAATAATAAATTGATGATATATTTATTAAAAAAGTTTTGTAAAAATATAAGAGCACAATAAGAGATTTAAATTTGCAAAATAATTTTATTGAGAATCTGAAAATAATAAAAATTTAATATTTTAATTTATAAATCCCCTTCATCTGATTTAACTGGATTGTTCGAAAATAAACGTTTGGCTTTCGCATCCTCAGTTTCTTCAGAAATATCAGGAATTATCTAAAAAAACATTTTACATCTTGTTTCGAAAAATATTTCGAAACCTTCAATGCGTCTCCATGTACTCTAAATCGGTAAAGACATGTCAAATAAGAACCCCAATTTGTAAGAGTTTCTAATTCAATTATATTTGTTAAACGAGAATCCCAATTCTTTAAAAATAATTTCTTTTAATTAATTTATTATTTTAGCTTTACTTGAACATGAAATATTTGTAAAGGTTCCCCCTGCGCGTCATAAGTAAAATTGCCTAACAACATACGAGAGAGCATATTATCTATATCTTGATAACTCTAAAATTTTAAAAATTGATGTTTTTATTTAAATTTATTTTTAAAATCCTTACCCAAACAAGGAAATTCTTTGGCGCTGTTCTAATATTTCCATCAGGTGATAATTCAATTGGCAAATGTTCATATGAAACAGCTGTAACATTAATCCGACCAGATAAACCAATAGTTAAAAATCCATGACCTCCATAAAATGCCCAACATTCACCAGCAGAGGCTCCATAACCTTTTCTCTAAAAATAAAGAATTTTTTATAATTCTCTCAACCATTTCCTTCCACGTTAAGGTAATTTTTAATTTTTTTAAAATTAAACAAAAATGTTAAAAATACCCAAAAGGGGATTAATTGAGATAATTCTTAAATTTTTTTCAATTAAATACCAAAAAACTACTTGAATAACAGTTCGTGGACTATAACTTGTATACCAAAGTGGAATCCCAAAAAGTTTTTGAGTTCTAGATTTTTCATTATATTGAACGGTGCAACGAGTACTTAAAACAGAACCACCTAAAAATTAAAAAAATTTTCATTTAAGAAATATTTCAAAATTTAACCAGAACTTTCCAATGCATAATCGGGCATTCCAGTGTGATCAGCTTCATATAAACGAATTTCTTTTTTAATTAAATAACGAAATTTTTCAATTAACGAACTTTCATCAAATTCTTTAATTATTTGCTTAAAATGAATTTAAATTTAAAAAATTTTAAAAATCCAAACTTTATTTTCAATTATTTTAATAACTTCTTTTTCTTTTTTATAATTTAATTTGTCATAGAATTCTTCTTGAACTTTCCTTAAATATTTAATTTCCTCTTTAATTTGTGTATATTGATCATTAAAAATTTGATTTTGTTGAGCCATTTTCTATAAAAATATTTTTTGTATATACATATACTTCTCCAGAGGTGGGTCGAAACAGTCAGAGGTGCCGGAAATCGGAACTGGCTCAGAAGTCGGAACTCGGAAATCAAAATTTTTTTCGGAAAACGGAAGGAAAAAACGTGTAAAATCGAAATTCTGACCCACCTCTGTACTTCTTAAAAAAACAAGTTTCCAATTTTTCTATCCCTCAATTACAAATAAATTTTAAATATTTGTTTTAAATATTTGTGTAAGCTTATAATTTAATTTTTTAAATTAAAATAATTTTATTAATAATTACCTCATCAATCTCTAATTTAATATTTTTCTCCCATTCTTCATTGTATTTTTTAAATAAATTAATTATTTTTTCTTCAAAATCCTTCAATAATTTATCAAAATTTTTCTCTTCTTTTTGTGAATTATTTAATTTTAAAAATTCAATTTTTATCTAAAAGATTTTGAAAAAAATTATTATAATTTAAGAAAATAAAATTAAACATTTTGTTGAATCAATTTGTGGATATTTTGTTGAAAGAAAATTCTTTCCTTAGCAAACATTTGATAGAAAATTTGTTGAGTATTTTCGTAGGTCTACAAAAAATATTTTTAAAAATTTATTTTTAACATGGGAACATATGCTACTGTCACCACGAATTTGATATTTTTTGGTACCATTCAATAGTAGACCCCCGACTTTCTATTGGATAGTGCTATCCGTTTTCTTGCAAAATGACTTTGAACGGTCGGTCATAACTCGGCCCAAAGTCATTTTGCAAGAAAACGGATAGCACTATCCAATAGAAAGTCGGGAGTCTTCTATCGAATGGTACCAAAAAATATCAAATTCGTGGTGACATTAGCATATGGTTCCTACTAAGAAAAACCTCTTTCTCCTTTTCTTCTTTTTTAATTGACAAATTTTCCGAAAATAAATTTTCTTTCTTTTTAGGTTTAAAATCATTAAAAAATTCTTTGCAATAATCAAAAATATAAAAAGTAATGTTTGTACAATTTTGAAATATTTGAAGCAAACAGTTATAGATCCAGATAATAATTGTTTTGACTAAAAAATTTTTTGAAAAAAATTAAAATAATTAAATTAAAATACCAATTTGAGCAGAATAACTTAAAAAATTGGCGGCTAAAAATAAAAAAAACAAAGTAAATATAAACATAATTTAATAAAAACCTTTTTCTCCGAATGAAATAAAATAAATCTTCAAATTTGAAAAAATTTGTAAAATTAAATCCTTTAGAGATTTGAATATTCCATCGAGATGTGAATAAGAACTTTCTAAAAATAATTTAAATTAATATATAAATTTAGTGAAAGGACATTTTTAAATTTTTAATTAAAGTTTGCTGAGAACGTGGAATTCCACAAACCCAAGAAAAAAGTTTTTTAGAGCCAAGGCTGATCCGAAGATGATCTTTGTATGATTTTTTTGATATTTTATATTTTTCAAAATATATGAAATTTTATATTTTTTGATATTTTGATCCAAAACTCTCCAAGAAAATCGAAAATTTAATAAAAAATTATTGTCCTGAATGTATGAAAAATTAACTTACAAAACCCAAAAAGAGATCCAAAAATTTAAGTGCTGAATATATTCCCTAATTAAAAATAAAATAAAAAACAAACCAAAAATATAAATAAATTTTTTATAAATATTTATTGCAATATTTGTTGTACTTTCTTTTAAAATAAATAAATATTCTGCAGTAATAGATAAATAGGAGGTATTATCAGAAATATTTTTATTTAAACAAAAAGGACTAATTAAATCAGATTTTTGATTTTCTAATGCTAAAAATTAAAAAAAATTTAAAATTTAATTAAAAAATTACGGCATATTTTATTAAATTCTTCCTGTTTTTCATTTTCTTTAAATTGTTGAAAAAATAAATAAATTAAATAAAGAAAAAATAAAAATATTAAAAGATTTAGAAAAGAGAATTTTCTAAAAATAAAAATTAAATTTTTAAAAATAATTTAGAAAACCTTTTATTTTTAATTTTTTGTTGTTTATTTAGTTTTTGTTTTCGAATTGTTGAATAATTTGTAAATTTTCTCAAAATAATTGAATAAAAAATTGAACGAGTAAAATTCCAATAACTTTCAGATTCTAACCAAATCTAAATTTGAAAATATTTGTGAAATTATAGAAATTTGAAAAAAATTAGAAAAACTTATTTAAACAAACTTTTTTAAATTTCAAAAGACAAAAAATAAAAATTTAATAAAATTTTGAATTTTTTTTTTATTTTTTTTGGTCACAGTTCGGAAGCCCGAATAGTCGCGCGGCCATAAAGTCGCCAAGCCATAACTTGCTAAAAAATTCTGGCCCTTATCAATTTTGATACCAATTTCTTTAGCTCGATGAGAGAAATAGTTTAATAATAAATTTGGAAAGATTCGGAAATCTCAAAGCAAGTTATGGATTGGCCCAGTTCTTAAAATTCCCCTGTAGCCCAATTTTATGATATTTTTATTAATTAAAATTGAAACGTTAATTGAATTAAAAAATAAAACCTTACATATTTAATCTCATTCAAAAAATTTTGAAATTTGTAATTAATTGTGCTAATTGATTTAAAAGAATAACTAGAAATCATTGAAAAATAATAAAATAAAGCTATACCTTTAAAATAAATTTAAAAAATTTAATTAATTTTAAAACAAAAACTTTTAGTGTAGAAATATCTCCAAATTGATGTTGAAAAATAAAAGAAATTAAAAATTTGTGAAGAAATTAAAATAAAAATTCTTTTAAAAATATTTTGTCGTTCAATTTGAGTAAATTTTGTTGGCGTAATAGGAAATTTTCGACAAAGCCTAGGGTGTATATATTCTCTATTTCCAACATTTGTTTTATAGGCAAAAGTATAAGAATAAGTGTAATTTGTTTCATAAGGACTTTAAAAAAATTTAAAAATAAATGGTAATCTTCTGTTTCATTGGTCCCTAGAAAAAAATGAGAAAAAAGTGTCAGTGCTTGAATTTTTACCCCGAATTCGATTTTGTCGAATTTGGGTCCGGGGTTTGAAATAAACAAAATCTAAGTTCATATTTGGATTCAGTGAACTTGATTACCTACTGGCATGACTCAAAAATGTCGAACGAGCACTTTTTCTTATTCTTTTCTAGAGACCAATGAAGCAGGAGATTACAAAAAAAAATAAATTTAAAAAAACCTTTCTAAAATCTCATCGATCTCCTCCTTAGTTAATGAAGTAGAAGTTGAGTGTTTTGCTGGTGAAAAACTTCTAAAAATAATTTTATTAAAAATATTTAAAAAGAATTAAAATACAATCTTCTGTATACATCCATTTTAATTTAAAAATTAAATAAAAATATTTTTGTTAAATATTTTATTTTCTTAAAATTAAAAAAATTAAATAAAATTTAATTGAAAAAAAATTTAATTTTAAAAAATTTTTAAAAAATTAAAAAAATTAAAATAAACTCTTTCAAACTTAGATAAAGAATGGGCAGACATTATAATGCGGAGAAATATCATTTAATAAAAAGAGAGTGTTATACAATCAGTTTTTCTTTTTTTATTCGCTTTTGGTGCCAAACTCCCTGTGCTGAACTGTCAATTTTGACTGTCAATTAGGGGGAGTGTCAATGAATTTTTTTAAAATTTTAGCTTTCTTCGAAAACACTAAGAATTAGCTCATTTAAAATATGGGCAATTTTAACACAAACTATTTCTCTGATACGTTCTGTTGAAGCAAACCTCGGAAATGATTGGGAGACTAAACCATTTAAATAATTAAAAACATTTAATTATAAAAAATTTTATTGAAGATTTTCTTGATTATTTTTGTCAATTTAAATTAAGAATTTTTGAACATTTTTTCTGAACTTGTTAACTCTATTTAGTGCTTTAAGGAGGATATTACTCTCCCCTTTAATATTATTCTGATACCACTGTTAAATATTTAATATAAGACACTCCTATTTTTGAGGTATTCAAACAGAAACTAAATTAGCTCTCCGGACATGTATTTTGGTTCTGAATACCTAGAAACAACCATGCATCTTTAACGGATGTTATTTTTGAAATTATTAAACAAATATATCAATAATTGAATATTTTTGGGACTAAACACGAATAAATTTAATGTAAATGAATTAAATTTTCTTTAATTTCAAAAAATCAAATTTAATATTAGTAACAACTCAATCTTGTATTTATTTAAATATATCATTTTATCAATTTAAATATTAATAAATGCTAAAGTTTAAGCAATGTTTCACGTATTCTGCATAATCTTTTGTGTAACCTTTCCCTTCTTTCGGCTTCAATACTATTCATGGGTATTTTACAATCATTTAATAAAATATCTGTAGTATATCCCCTTTGAATTGCCACTAATTTTTCGAATTGTGCAACACCAAATAAAGTTAATATATTTATTTGGCCTTTTATTCGAATTGGAATTCCGTTGAATAAAATATCACTTTGAAAATGTACCTAATTAAATAAATTAATATGTAGAATTTAAAATTTATTTAAAAACCTCATTTTGTTCTGGTACTATATTTGAGTTGTTTAAATTTAAATGCAAATTTAATCCGTTGCTGGGGACTGCCTGTGGGAAAATTTTTAATTAATTAAAGTTATTTTATGCTTATTTTTAAATATTTTAAGAAAAAGGTGGTGGTATTTTTAATTAAAATTTCTGGTCGGGCTGGAAAAGATTTTAAGGCTACAAATAATTTTTTGAAAATAAAACAAAGGGTTCTTAAGGAATTAGATTACTAATGATGGAGATAAAATACACAATAGATCTCAAAAATCAGTCAATATTTAATTAGGGTTTTGATAGAGTGGGGGATTTTACAGGTTTAATTTTACGGGGTAAAATTAATTAATTTTACAATATGTAGCCTTTTAGAAATTTGAACAGATTGAAGTAAATTCTGTTGTCTTTCACGTTCCTTTGCATGAGGAATTCCCGCAAAACATATTCCTCTTGTTAATTCAATTAAAAATGTATCTGTTAATGAATTATTTTCGTCTACATTATCATTTGATATTTGTTGTTTATTATTAGACATTTTAATTATAATTAAGACTAAAATAAATTCTCACAGAATTTTAATTAGAAAATATTTTGGCTGAAAAGTTTAGAGAAAATTGAAATAATTTAATTAAAAAATTTTTGTTCTAACCAAGTAAATATTTTTTCTAAAACTAATGAGGTTTGGTTAAAAATAAGAAAAAAAGGATAGAAAGATATTATCTCAAAAAGAATCTCTTTCCTCAAACAACCTCAAAACAAATTCCTCTAAAAATATATCTAAAATGAACTGTCATGCCCATTTTTATATTTAAAAAATAATATCTTCTCTTTTTTCCCTCATTAATATTACTTGCGTTGATCCGCTAAATTGATAAGATTTTTGTTGAAAAAAATTTTTACTTCTACTTATTTTTAAATATCGGTAAAAAGACAAATGAAAAATAAACTTGAATTAATTTTTATTATGGAGAATATTATACTTACATATGTGGTTTAAACAAAAATTATAGTAAAATATTTTTAAATAAATATGGAAATCAAAAATTTAAAAATTCAGAGCCATTGAAGTTTATTAAACCCCTAAAAACATCGACAAAATTATTTGTTCTTTAACCTTGTGTTTAAGGATTCATTTAGTCAATCCCATATTCTACAGATGGCAAAACAACGAAGGTTAATATAAAAAAAGTTATTTGAAAAAAATTAAAGAGAATTTCTTACAACTAAACACCTTTTTATTTGGGGACTATAAATATTATAATGGCAACAAACAAAAGATTTTTAGGCGGCTGCTCTTACTACTCTTTTTTTAAATAAAATTCTATATAATTCATCATTCATTATTAATGGGGCCCGGCTAATGAAGAATTTAAAAACAGTGTTTTTATATATTTTTAACTAAAGGAACAAAATTTAGGGGAAGATAATTTTTATAAATAAAAAATATTTTGTCACGGAAATATAAAGGCTTTTATCTTGTTGAGACTTTTAAATCACTATTGTAATTTGTATGTGTGAAGTTTAGATGGTATTTTTCCGTTGTGCCAGACCCCCTCAGCTCAGGCAATATCATTTATCCTGAGTGGTAAAGACAAATGATAACTAATTCGACAAGGCATTCGTGTTGAGTCGAATGGTACAAAAAGTTTGTGCAAATTTTTAGCATGTGAGAAATAATAGAAGAATCACTGGCGAATCATCATTATAGCACATATATCATAAGGTTTTTAAATTTATTTTAAATTATTTTAAATTTATGCTCAGCTGTTTATTTGGTCCGAAATGTTAAAGATTGGTTGACTTGGTTTCAAGTTTATCATGTCGAAATGAGCAAAGTTTATATCGTTCAAATCGGTTCTTTAGATTGATTCGATAACTTCGAAGATGGCTACTTCGTTACAAGATCAGTATTTGATGAATTAACCAGATTTCCTAATTTATTTTTAAAGAAGTATTTGTATTTAAATAAAAATTGTTTTCTGATATTTTTTCCAATTTCTACAAAAAAAAAGAGGATTATAAATTAGTTTAAAAAATATATACATAAAACTATTTTATATTATTTAATATTATTAATAAATCAATTTTTCCAATTCTTTTATTGTAAATATTTTTAAATAGTACCAGAATTATTTTATAATCCTGGAAAATTTTCTAAAAATAACCAAAAAAATATTTTAATTTTAAAAATTAATTATTTAATTATTTTATGTCCCATCCAGAGAAACATACACTCTGTCAGAAAACTATAAACGCAGGTCAAAATTTTGTCTTAAAACCTATTTCTCTATAGTAATATTTAAATGTCTATTTTAAACCTAGATAATAAAGTTACAAAAATAAGTTAAGTCACTTTTTACATGAAATTTTGGTGTTTTTCGGGGTATTTTTGACTTTTATCAGAATTGACCGTCAGAAAACTATAAACGCACTCGTGATTTTTATAACTAAAACTAATCAAATATGGATAATTTTATATTTCTTTGTAGAGTTATCCCTCCTTTATTAAAAATAAAAAAGAATTAGACCCATATCTCACTTTAATGTCGAGATCCAGATACCTCGAAAATCAACGTAAATAGGGGGTAAGGCTAATTAAAAAATCTTTTCGACCCCTTATGGTTTGTTTTAAATTTCCATTTTGGGCTCATTCGAAAGCCCTTAAAATTTTCTATAAGATAGCATAGTTTTATTTTCTGGAAAAAATATTTCAGAAAGTTATTAAGTTTTAAATCTTTAAGGCAGAGAAATACACCTAGATGCCCCATAAAATTAGCTCCGGGCAATTAACGGCCTATATCTCTCTAATGAATTTTTCTCTGAAATACAACATCCATTTTTCTTGTAGCAAATTTTAAGGGCTTTCTAATGAGCCTAAAATAGAATTTTAAAACAAACTATAAGGGGTCGAAAATATTTTTTAAAGAGCTTTACCCCCTATTTACGTTGATTTTCGAGGTATCTGGATCTCGACTTCTAGTAAAGATATGGCCCTAATTTTTTTTATTTATAATAAAGGAAGGATAACTTATTATAAAAATATAAAATTATCCATATTTGATTGTTTTTAGTTATAAAAATCACGAGTGCGTTTATAGTTTTCTGACAGTTGATTCTGATAAAAGTCAAAAATACTTCGAAAAACACCAAAATTTCAAGTAAATTCAATTAAAAATTAATTAACTACTTTATTATAAAGGCTAAAAATAGAAATTTAAATATATACTGTAGATAAATAGGATTTAAGACAAAATTTTGACCTGCGTTTATAGTTTTCTGACAGAGTGTACATATATTTTTTATATCGATTCAATATTTGTTTTAAATATTTTTTACAAAATTATTAGTAATAATCGTGAAAAAATAACTGTAAATATATGTAAATAAATTCTTTTATTTACATAAAAGAATTTTACAAAAAAACAAATAGACGTGGAATTGATTAACAACAACAATACTTAAATATTTAAAATAATTAAGCCCCACAAAATTATCAAGCATTTTTTAAAATTTTCTGTAAAATGACAAAAATAATATATAAATATTTAAATTATTCCTCTTTTTAATTTAACAAAATAAAAGTTTAAAATATTTTATAGCGATCGAAAAAATATTTTTATTCAAAATTAAATATTTATGGCGAACGATTAAAAGATTAATTTATATTTTATTTAAATTTGTAATTTAATTAATTTTTATTTAAAAATTAAATATATTAGTATGGAACAGGAAAATATATCAAGTAAATTTTAAAAAATATTTTTTAACAAAAAATATTTTTTGATAAATTAATTTTGGAACAAATGAATCAAATAAATGAAAATATAAAGAAAAATAAATTTTCTATAATACTTGGTGATCAAATATATGAAATATGTACAGAATTAAGAATTAAAGGGAAAGAATTAGAAAAAACAAATAAAGGTTTGGAATTGTTAAAAATAAAACAAAAATTAATTTTTAGATGATTTAGATAAATTTTTTTCTTCTATTCGTCTTGCTTCTTGTCGTGAAGACGGAGAACTTGGTTTACCTTGTAGAATTAAAATTCTGGAATTATTAGAAATTCGTTTAATGGGCTGGAGAAATAATTTATCAGTTAATAATTTTTCTAAATAAAATTATTTAAAAAAATATTTTTTAAAGCATGCCCGTTATTATGCAAGAAAAGAACGTGAATTGGAAGAATTAAAAAATGAAGATTTATTTAGTACATTTCAATCAAAAACTAATTCCTGTACATCATCAAATAATTCAATTTCACCAAAATTTATAAATAATAATAATGAGATGAATAATTTATATGCAAAACAAAATTTTGTGGTAAATTTTCTTAATAAAATTTCCTTCACACCTATTTTGTCTGATTAATTCAGTAAAATTTTGAGAAATCATCATCTCTTCTGAGAGCATTTAAATCAATTTAGGTATATCAATTAATTAAATTTTTAGTCAAATAAAAATTCCCCCCAATCACCACCATCACAACAACAAAGACCACTTTCAATAGATAATTCTGCTTCTGATTTTCAATCAACAATTCCATTATTTCCAGCTCAATTCAATATTCCACCTCCCTCACTTCCACCACCAAATTGTTTGATTGATCCAACAGTTGACAATAATGTTCTAATTTTTATTATAAAAATTAATTTCCAATTTAATTTTTTAGACTGACTATTTAATATTGTAGAGACCAAACAATTTTTACCAATAATTTACGTTAAAATTGTTTTAAAATTTTAAATTTATTCAAAACAATTGACTTATTTTTAGTTACAATAAGACACGTAGGATGGATGGGGATGGGTTTAGAAAAAGTCCGGGTTTCGACTTTAGAGAATTAATTCTAATATTTCAGACAGGAATGGCTAGACCAGCAAGCTTTTTCTTCATTCCATCTCAAACCGGCACATTTGTTCCTGTTCCTCCAGCTATTACTGGCTTTAATCTAACAGAGAATTTAGGAATGTTTTCTTCGCCTCCACCGCCATTTAAATTTATTCCTCCAAACTTTTATAGTAAATTATTTTTTAATTAATCGAAAATAATTTTTTTAAATTAATTAGAAGAAAATAATTCATTAAACAATACAAATAGAAATATCAATGTGGCAGAATATGGAGTGTCTGAATTTGAATTATTACAACCAAAAATTAAAACAACTCCAAATCTTTTCCGAGAAGAGATTCAAATTCGGAATTCTGATTCTGGAAAAGGTTAAAGGATACTTTTAACTTATGCGTAACACAATCCACAAATTTTTTATCCTAAATCTGTCGTTCATGGAATTAAAGTTTTATCCTAAATTTATGCCACTTTCTTTCTAGATATATGTATATCTAATGCTGATTGTAAAGCAATAAATACCGTATATGCTCAAATAATTACCCTGGGTAATTATTATTTCAATCTCTCGCTGGAGGGGTTAATAATCGAGAGGGGCGCTGAATTTGAAGTGCACATATCTCTTTAATTTGCCGAATAGGTTGATTAATTTTTTGATGTTGATTCTTAAACTGTACTAATAATTAA